GAGTGTGTATTAAAGCCTTGGGCACGCAAACATTTTGGCCGCAGACCTTGGACATTCAAACCAAAATCTCCGGATACCAATCCGTTGGACTATCGATCACCTCAAGCAAGCGCTTCACCTGGAATGAGCTAAATACCGTAGAGCAACATTCGGGCAGCGTGTGACGGTTTCATTGGCCGTTTAAAGACCATAACTCGTGCCAAAAGTGACCAATTCGACAAAATCTAAACTTATTCTAAAATTTGATGCTATTTCCGACATTATTTGCTTTCATTTAATAAATTAAAAAAAATGCAAAAATTATGGCTTTTGACTTTGTTGCAGTTTTTTTTATCTGACCCTGTAATGTGCTGTTACGAGCATAACTGGTAGATTTAAGCTAAGTTTAATAAGTTTCTGTTAATTGGAACTGTAACGTAAAGTTCTGTTGAGCAGTATAGAATTTTTTACATTTCACCTGCTATTGTTTGTCAAATTTTCCATATTTATTTTGGTCTTTACTTCTTCTTTTTCATGTATCTGTCTTTGATTTATTGACCTAATTGTTACATCATTAATATCTCTATCACACACTCACTCGTATTTATAATAACAACCTGCTTTGTTGTTTACACGCATTTTTCTGTTTGTGTATGTGTATATGTGTATCTTTATTGGAAAGCGCGGGTTATGATTCTCGACATTTCCATGCATTGATAAGGTCTTTAAAATACGACTGAGTAGGAAGCCAGCCAGCAAATTCAGTTTTGAATAGCGTCTTGTAAACCTATGTTAGTAAATAGTTAAAGTGAAACTATGTGCTAATTAAAGTGCTGCGTACTAAGTGGAGTCTGATTGTATTCTAAACCAAAATTCGTTTTGTTTGGTGAAAGTCGCATGACACAAGTTTGAGTTAAATACGAATTACGTTACAATACATGTCCAATATTGCTTGAAGAATAACTTCCCTTATGTACACACCAACTTCTGCGGGTACCTTTTCAACTCCGCAATTCTGTTAGTACATACACAGTTGAACACAGATACACATAAGTGCCAAGATCTCAGCAAATGAAATGTCCTTATTTATAGGTGTATATAAATAACATTTGAATCCTAAGTACAGCAATCCTATTCGCATGTACCAATATTTGTCCGAATAAATCTGGCCATTGGCAAGATTAAATTTTAAATTGAAACGGACATTTTAGAATAAATTTACCGTAAAATGTTCAATAAATTTCCATACAATAATTATCAAAAAGACAAATAAATGATTTGTATTTGTTTCTTTTTTTTTTTTTTGTTTTTTGGTTTGTTATTGATTATTTTTATTAGGGGTATCGGTGCAACTACTATCGTCTATCGTAGATAAAAATATAGCATGAAGTCGTAAAGTCCCCGAATTGTGGCGGCTTATCAGACCCCCTAACACTATGAGTAACAACAGCTGGGCAAAGATCAAAATTATAGACTTTTGTTATTGTTTCGGTCTTAATAACTCATCAACGACATCATTGCTTCGATTGCAGGCAGGTATGCGGATTTTCAAAAACAATAAATCTACAAAGTCTGACACTGATATGAACTTTGATTGAGTGTTAATACATTTAAAAATAACTTATGTGTGGCAATGTGCAATCGATCTGCGGATCTGGCGATGGAACCAACTTGTGAGTTCTGCAATAGTGCAGGCTATATATGCAAATGGTTAATTGAATGATTGTGAAGTGCAACATGCGAATGGCCCATATTGATTGCAAATTCATTAGAAGAAAACAATTCGAAATCGATGACATGCTAATGGATTTCTTCTTATTGTAAGCAAATATTTAATGGATTTTATTATATATTTTATCCAGGTAGCACGAATACTGATCGTAAGTAAATTAATTACATTTTTAGCCAGTTCGAAATGAACCGCTTTTAGACTCGTTTTAAAAGATATTAGGATACTTCATGCCATTATTAAAAATTTATGCTTTTCATTATTACATACTTACACACAAATACAATAAGTAAGAGCGGCACTAGAAGGCAGGCGGCCAAAAAGCACAACAATGCTTTGAGGAAATATTTCAATTCATTCCAAATTCTAAAAATATACAAGACATTTAATCAACCCGACAATTACAATTCAATCACTGTCCATAATATTTACTTTTCCATATTTTTTGTATTTTGAGTTTTAATTCATTATTTAATTCGTTATTTTTATTTGTTGTTTTTCTTCTTCTTTTTTTGTACTTCACTGCTACCAAGTGTTGGGCGATGTCAAGACGTCTGTTTTGTTGCGATGGAATTCTTTGACTGAACTGTAAATGCTGAATGAAGGCAATCCATTGAGTTTCTCAAAAGACGATCGTCTAACAAAAACAGAGAATTTGCAGCGAATGAGAATGAGAGAGGTCAGTTAAGCTATAAATTTCTTTTATTTTTTGTTTAAATCCTTATCAGTTTACAGAAAATGAAGAGAAAAGAGAACACGTTGCTCCAATGAGTTTCGTATTTATTTCTCTCAATTTAATGCCGTGTCCAATAGAAAATGGTTTAACAACAAACATTACTAGGTTTGAAGGATTGGGGAATTATTAAAATTTCTGGCAGTTAGGGTAAGTGTACCAGTAGTCGACACTTTTAGGATTTTCGCTAATTCTATTTTTCACCATTCTGAGTGAAATTTTTATTATTATAATAAAGTCAATTTATTCCGATTTTAAATATTGTTTGGTTTTTAAAATCATAAACAAAGTTTAAATAATTTTTTTATTAAATTTTTGCCAGTAGTCCTGATGACCTGTTCTAATAATTGGCTAAGGAGAAAAAATATATTTCAATATTATATTTTTGTTGAATAATACTGATTAAAAATTGTTATCCATATAAAATAGACAAATTAAATGAATAAATACGCTGCATCTTTATACCCTACACCGCACTGTGGTCAGGGTATTATGTCTTTGTGCATTTGTTTGGAACATAGTGAAGGAATGTGATTCTATGCAAATCATCAAAATTAACTATGGGTTTATCTCGCTTCCTTCTCCATGTTACAAACAAATGCACAAATACATAATACTCTGGCCACCGTGAGGTGTAGAGTATAAAACGGAGGAAACATTAAAACGGGTCTGGACAGGAACTATAGTGTATTGTTCAAAAAATTATTGTATATCTCTATTTTTGTACGATATAGCCTCACAGAATTTCACTATGCAAGTAAATTAAGAAAAAGAAACCCATGTTTTTAAACGAGTAATTTCATTAAAATGAGAAAAATATTGGACAGAATGGTTGACAGGGGTAAAAGTAGATATGGGCTGAAAGAGCGTACTTTCAGTCTTCTTCCTGAGAAAGCAACTCCCAAAATGAGAAATAATTTTCTAGCCGAACTTGAATTGTGTTTAATTCGCAATAACTGCGAAATAAATATTACCTTCCAAAAACGACCCTTGTAAGCCATCATCTTAACCGAATATGCCTAACGCAAAGCAGGTCGCACAGTGGTGGGTGTGTGATAGTGTCTCTCTGGCTTACCTTTTCACTGCCAATTGCAGATCATTAAGCTCATCTCGAAAGAGAATTAAACAAATAAATCGTAAACATACGATCTTTGCCTTAACAAGGCAAAACTCAAGAAATAAATATTTTTCCTTTTTAAAGACAACCTACATTACAAAAGAAGTAAGCAATGGTTATAGCCGTGCGGGGACGACCATGTGCTACCCTACAATACTATAATATATTGGAAAAAATCTTAGATGCAATCCATTTTTTTTCATTTTTTGAAATAATGCCATTCTGTCCTGAAAAAGTTTAACAGTCAAATTTACCATATATTTACGCCCCCCTGTCGTACTGATATGTATTCTAACCAATTTCACACAAACATTGTGTTCCATCTTAAACGCAAAATATTATCCGATGACCAACCAAAATGTCATTTTTAAAACAATAACCTTATATTCTGACCCTAACCCAACCTTCGATAAAACGATTGTACCCCTATTATGCCACAGCCTTGCTCTATCAAGAGTTATGGGGGAACATTCGGTTCATGATCTCAGTGAACATTTAGGCTACCTTTGTAAAAAGGCTACTCGATTCCAGGCACCGGAATTAACTCACGACTCTATTCGACGCACTTCCATCCATCCTTTCACTTCTCTACCTTTTATTATTTTAGACCCAGCAAAGTATATATATTCTTGATCAGTGTAAAATTCTAAGACGATTTAGCCCTGTCCGTCCGTCCGTCTGTTCTAATCACGCTAGAGTCAAAACAAATGAAGATAGGAACCTAAAATTTGGCACAGATCAGTCTTTTGTACCCCCAATATTCGGTATTTTGATGATTTTAACCATATTTTTCAATGAAATTGTCTTAAATTCTACACAAGGAGTTCTTCGTGACTACAATACCCCTTGAAAAAGAATTGCCTATATAGGTCCACGATATCGTATATCCCCACATAGCTGTACCTCCTGATATTCGGTATTTGTTTGATTTTGGCAACATTTAATGGAATTTTCTGAAATTCTATACAAGAAGTTTTCTGTGAGTACCTTACCCCCTGAAAGAGAATTGTCTATATAGGCCCACGATATCGTATAGCCCCCGGATATTGGGTATTTTGGATACCATGACACATATTTTAATGCATTTTAGTACCCTTTAGCTTTGAAACTATGCCGTAGTGTTTTAAGTAATCATATAGACGGGCCCTGGGCGTCCGAATCGATTGTTGTAACAGGTTTTCCATTCTTTTCTTAAAAATAAAATAATGTTTAGCCTATAGTAAGATTTTCCCGATTATATTTATAAATTCCGTTACGTTTTCAATTTGCATCGTAAGTGTGGTGAATACTTCATAACGAGAAAAAAGAAGAGAGTGAGAGCAAAAATATTTCAAAGCTCTCTTCAAATAATCACCAAAGCTCCACATTTGAATTCAATTCAAATGGTGCAAAACTAAGCGTCAAATAGATAGAGCCTGATGAGTATAGTGGCTGCTGTTCGTGCGTTGTGGTCGTTGACGATTTTGGTGCGCTGCGGTGAAAAAAGATTTGCTGCTATTAATTGCTAAATGCTGCTGCTGTTAGTGTGTGTGTACGCGTGGAAAAAAGTGTTGCTAACTTTTGGATGTAATGATATTTTCCCTTCTCCAATTGCCAGTGAATTACAAAAGTTGTGATAAATATTTAAGTGCAATGCAAAAATAGTAAATTCCAATGTAAATTCCAAAAGAAATTAGCGAAACACACACACGCAGGTTGAGCCCAACAGCAAATCATCCAAAAAGAAAAAAAATACATATTCAGTCCTTGTGCTCGTTCTTTTTTGACTTACTACAGTGAAATCTTGTAGGAGTTCAATATTGTATAATATACGGACATACGTCCAAAGAAACGTACCATCATCTGTATAAGCGTTCGTATGTGCATGTGTGCGTCTGTATGTTGAAGTGAAAAAAAAAACAACCAACAAGAAGAAACGAAAGAGGAAATTTCATTTTTGACAAGTCAAGAAAAATTGAGGAAATAAAACAAATATAGTTTCCTTTACTTGTGGTGAGGTGTTAGTGAAAATTCTCAAAAATTTAATACTTCCAATGTAAAAATAATTACTTAGTAAAAGAACAACAACAAAACAACATAACAACGACCAAATAATACGTTTTGTATTTAAATCGAGTTCCCACGAACACTAAAAGTGAAAGTGATTTCCTACGAATGAGAAGGAAACAAATGCGAACAACAAAAATACGACGACGACGAAGAACAAAAGAAACAAGAGAATAAAAAGAAAAAAAAATCAGAATCCGAATCAAACAAAAAAGGAAGCAAATTATGCGCTTGGTAGTTTGTGATGGTCAAAAATAGAAAATAAGTGATATATTAAAGTGTCGCTCCTAAAAATATGCTATGAAATCTTGAACACGCACTTGCAAACTTACAAACCAACAAACACACTCATACACACTTGATGGCCATAACTGAAGAAGAAGAAAACACAAACGGACAATACGCCAGACAAACTGTTTGTTTAGTTTGCTGATGGGTCAGGGTGAGATAAATACAAAGTGAGTGAGCGAGAAAGAGTGTAAAACTACACTGGGAGAGAAAAGCATTTCGGAGAAAAGCAAAAGAGCTTACATCAGTCGCGAGTGTGTGTGATAATAATGATGGTGGATGTATCACTGTGATGCCATTGATTGTATAATGTGCAGAGGGTGCCTGCTGGCGTTTGTATGTATGTATACAAGTGTATGTGTGCCAGTAATGAAGAATATGAATGAAAAAGCATAAATTTGCCACCCACTCTCTTCCCTTCTTCGAATACTCGAACGGCCAGATTGTCGTGGCAGCGCCATAAACGGCTTCCATCATCTAACAGATTGCCTTTGCACATCTCATTCTTCTCTTTGGTGCATGCTCAGCAGTAACTGTGACAGTCACAGCCGCAGCCACAGCAATAACAACTGTGACAATGTCTGCGAGAAGGTGTTGTAGAATCTGTCAAAAACAGCAGGTCTGGTTCTGATGATAATACATTATTGTTATAAATGTGTGTCCGCTGCCAAGTCGCTGCTGCTGCTGCTCCCGCTGCCAACGCATTGCTGTAATACGAAGCGCCATAACGAATTGTGCGAGCATACAACTTAATACCATTTGAGTTCCTTGCTTTCTTTTTTGACATCTGCCTTTTAGCTGCTGTTGCTGTCAGTATTCCTTCCGTCCCCCCCTATAAACATCTTACTGAAACGACAACAACAACAATAACAGTAACAACGGCAACAATCGTAGTAGTAGTAAACATCGAAAGCAACGAGTCCTCGTCGTCGTCGTGTAAAACAAACGCAACTCTTTGTCACAACGTATGTTTGTGTGTATGTGTATAAACAAAAAGGTGGCACTCTGCTCTCTCGTTTGTCCGCTCTGTTCAATGACATAAAAGCTGCCATTGTGAGAGTGGTGTGATGATGGTGAACGGTGGTGTATGATTTGTTTTCCTGTTTTCCTGAGAGAAAACATATGACACACGTGCATTCATTCCTTCGCTTGTGTATATCACTGTATGTGTGTGCGTGTGTTCAGTTCAAAGTTCATCATTTGTGTAAAACAGTTTAAAATTTAAATAACAAAAACAACAACGACATCAATAAATATAACAAAAATATAACAAACATAAGTACATACATATGTACATCCGTGTTCATACAAATACATAAGCCGAGAATTTGTTCATTTGGTTTCAACGCCAACCAAAAAAAAAAAAGAAATAGAAGAAAAAATACCAAAACGGAAACGCAGAAGCAGAAGCAGAGCAGACTTACATTCAACGGCAGCATAGTATATATATAGAGAGAGAACACACACATCCATACAAACCTACATGTATTCGTGACAACGTGTTCCAGTTTACAAGAGAAAATCAGGAAATCACAAAACTCTTTTTTTTTGTATTTTTGTGACTTTTTTCTTTCTGTTGAAAGAAGAAGAGCAATAACAACATAAACGGAGGAGAAGATAAAGATTGCGGAAAAAGGAACAAGAAGAGGCAGTAGTATATAAAAGGTGGGTCAAGTGTAAATTTTGATACAAACATTTGTGCATAAAAGTGGATATACAAACGTGCATACATGTAATACCCAAACATACAGAGTATATTTAACTACACACATACCTATCTACCTACCTACATATGTAGCTGGGTATATAAAGCACATGGTGTCAATTTGCAAAATACATTTTTTTTCACGGAGCACATGCCATCCCTCAAAAAATGAATGTACATACATACATACAAATCAGTGTACATTTATATTCACTAACAAATAATATGACTTTTTAATGGAATTCATTCTATGCCACCGACAAAAAGGTATTTTGGACTGCTTTAATGCAGATTGTCTGTAATTTGTTAAATATTTTAAAACATAAAAGAGAATATTACTCGACCTTTTCATGTATTATTTAATTAGCTTACTAAAGTATTTTAAATGAAACAGATATCTACACATATATGTACGTATGTACATCGCTTCATACCCATACAATAAAAGAGGTAATTTACTTGGAATCCTTTGTCAACATTTGGCGGAAGTCATCTTTGTGGTTAGGAAATTAAGTATATAACTTTTAATGGATGTATATGTACATGCATAGGTATGGTGAGCCATGAAATGGTATGAGTATGCGTGCATATGGCTGTTAAACTGAAGGACTCTCATTCACTCGTCGAAATTCCACTAAAAAGTGAAAGCCCACCATAATCGTAACAACTTCCGCTTCAAAGGAATGAAACTTGAATGAAAGCAACGTCATCATTTGCAAATAGAGATGTTGTAGGTTTGATTTGATTGTTGAATTGTTATTCGGAATCAGACATAATGTCTGACAGATGGGCTATTGATGACTTATTTGGGATTGTGGGTGGGTGCTAAGAAGTGCATTATTTACATATTGCTCATTAATTCCGAGAATATTGAATCTGAAAAAGTTGACTTTCCAGAAAACGAATTTCAATGTTTTCATGGGAAATTATGGCATGGCATTTGAGGGAAACTAAGCATGGAAGCAATGTAGTAGTTGTTGGAAAAAGATCTGCCAATAGAACTTGAGTCGAACCTGGAGAGTTTCTAGTGTATAATTCGCATATGCTAATTTGCAATAAGTTCGAAATATATACTACTTTCCAGAGAACGGCCCTTGTAAGCCATCATCCACACCAAATATGCCTGATGAGCCGCTTAAGCAACGGCGAAACGCGTCGCATACTGGTGAGTGTGTGATAGTGTCTTTCTGGCTTTCCTTTTCACTGCAAATTCCTGATCATTAAGCTCGTCTCGAAAGAGAAAACAAACACATAAATCATAAAACATATGATCTTCGCCTTAACAAGGCATAATTCAAGAAATGTTTCAACGACATAGATCATATACTGCAGGAAGGTGAAGCGGCATCTGTTCTAAAGATATGTGCAAGAACGAAATTGGATTGATTTTCTTTTTCGGACTTTACAAACACTCCTGAATATCATATACACATCGCTAGATAAAATAAATTTTGACACAATATCAATTCTATATTGAATTAATATAAGGTGATTTTTTAGAAGCTATGGGAAAGTAAAAAAATTAAAAAAAACATTCAGACAAATTTATGAAATCTTTAAAAATAATGTAATCAAAACTTGTGAAGATTGGTCCACCTTTAGGCATAGTGCCCTATAATTTTAGGTACATTTGTAATTCAAATGGACTGAAATTTGAAATCTGATGTTTTTAATGGGCACAGGATGCCCTTCAAAATAATAATATTAATATGCGTCCACAATTTGATACAGCTCCCATTGAACCCTACCCCCAATTTTACTGCTTTAAAGTATTTTTACATATTTCTCTATTTATTTTGTTGAAATTTAATATTTATGTTTGGGATAGGGTAACAAATCAATTTGGCTAAAATTTTTCAACACTGAACATATTAATACCCTACATCACAAGTTGGTCAGGGTATTATGTCCTTGTGCATTTGTTTGTAACATGGAGAAGGTAAGGAGATAAACTCATAGTTCATTTTGGTGATCAGAATAGAATCACATTTTGAGTCGATTTATGCATGTCCGTCTGTCTGTCCGTCCGTCCGTCTGTCCATGTATTTTTGTAAACAAATTGCAGGTCGCATTTATTATTCGATTGAGATGAAATTTTCTAAATAACATTTGTTTGCTTCAAGGACGAACCCTATTGAAATTGGTGATAATCGTTTAAATTTAGATATAGCTCCCATATATATCATCATCCGATTTTAGGTTTCTTGTGCACCAAATGCTAATATCAGTCCAAATGGTGTGAATTTTGCTACATCCGACCGAATTCAGTCTACAAGCATGTGCTTCAAATTTGGTGAAAATCGGTTCAGATATAGCTATAGCTCCCATATGTATGTTTCATCCGATTTTGCTGTTTAATTCGTTATATGCACTCCACAAGACTGACATTTAGCACCAGATATCAGATACAACCCAGAAATTCATAGATCAAATTTTATCAAGTTCGATTCAGATTTTGATATAGCTCTCATATATATCTTCATCAGATTTTAGGTTTCTTCGACACCAAATGGCTAATATCAGTCCAAATGATGTGAATTTTGGCACTTCCACCCGAATTTACACAAAAATGATATTTAGTACCAAATATTAGATTCAGCCCAGCAATAAATGAATCAAATTTTATCAAGATCGGATCAGATTTGGATAAAGCTTCCGTATTTATTTTCGTCCGATTTTAGGTTTCTTGTGCACTAAATGACTAGTTTTAGCCCAAAGTGAGTGAAAAGTTGGACTTCCGAGCGAATTAATTCTAGAAGTTAACATTTAAAACTTGGTGAAAATCGGTTCAGATATGGCTATAGCTCCATATATATGTGTTCCATCCGATGTGGTTCCATCCCTCGCTTTCGTAATATACACTCCACAAAAATGATATTTGGTACCAGATATCAGATAATGTCCATTAATACGTGTTTCAAATAATATCAAGATGGGTAAAGTTTTAGATATAGCTTTCATATACATCTCCATCCCATTTGAGGTTTATTATGTATGATTTTGGTACGTTCAACCGAATTCAACCAAGAAGTAAGTACATCAAATTTGGTGAAAATGGGTTAATATAGCTATAACTCCCATATATATGTTTCATCCGATTTTGTGTTTAAATCTGCAACGTTCGGAATATGCACTCTACCATAATCATATTTTGTACCAGATATCTATAGAGCTCAGAAATGCCCAATAAGAACCTTTCTTTTACGAGACCTCTACTAAATATGCATACTGGTGTAGGGTATTATATAGTCGGCCCCGTCCGACTTTTGAGCTTTCCTTACATATTACGAATGTTGGGGACTTAAACACCAACTCGGATGAAATCTATATATGGAGCTATACCTATATCTAAACCGATTTTCTCCGAATTTGATGCACTTGCGTCTAGATTGAATTCGGTCGGATGTGCCAAAATCCAAGTCATTTTGACTGACATTGGCCATTTGGTGCACAATTAACCCGAAATCGGTTGAAGATATATATGGGAATTATATCCAAATCTGATCCGACTATCACCAATTTCAATAGAGATCGTCACTGGGCCAAACAAATATTGTTTGGAAAATTTCATCTAAATCGGATAATAAATTCGACCTGCATTTTGTTTACAAACACACATGGACAGACGAACGGACGGAAAGACGGACTGACATGCACAAAACTACTCAGAAAGTGATTTTATGTAGATCCTCAAAAGTAACTATGGTTCTATCTCGCCTCTTTCTCCATGTTACAAAGCCATAATACCCTTACCACTATGTGGTGTAGGGTATAAAAATGAGCAGGAGCCTACCAAATTGGTCGGTTATCGGTCAATATTTAGCTGGTAAAATAAACCATAGATTTTATATCAAAAAATACGAAAATTTCCACTAAACTGCGAATATTTTTAATCCCGGCGAAATCACAAATAAATTAAAAGGTCACTTCTGACCATTACACTGATGCTGATAGTTAAGATATAGGATATATAGCAAAATAGGTACAATATATATGTGAAAGAAATATATCTTAATTATTCTGCTTATAAGTCAAGAACCGCTGGACTGATTTTCACAATTCTCATCAATTCGTAATGGTCTCTTGCCAGAAAAAGATAATATCTAAGAAAAACGCGTAAACATAAGACAATAAAAAGTGAATACTTTTTGATACATTTTTAAATTTTTTGTTATACTTTTTATCGCATACATGTGTTAAGGGTATTATATACAGGTCGCAATTAACGTCCGATCCTCACGAAATTTTGCATGGGGGTAGGGGTAGGGTCAGAATTAAATCCTATTATTTTTGAAGATGTACATTTAGGGATTTAAATGGACCAAAAAATTAACATGGAATTTAGCATGAGAAGAGAGTTAAGGACAGGAAAGAAGTCTAGCATTTTGGATGATCATTGGATTATATTTAGCTAAAAAATGGACCACAACTTTTGAGTGAAATTGTCAAAAAGCTAAGGGTAACATCTGGGCAGTAATCTATGCCATCATTTTAAAAAACGAAATCGTCTAAAATCGATTTGGACATAAGGGGGCTTTCAACATATTCGAATGTTGTAGGGTATTATATGGTCCGCCCAGCACGACTATAGCCTTTGCTTACTTGTTTTGAGTTACCGACAAAAATCGGTACCTCTCAAATGCAAAATGTTGGTATAAAAAAAAAAAGTAATAAAAGTTGACAACATTGGTATATATCGGTAGACCTTAGCGACTACTTTAATTTCGTCGCTAACTTACAGACAATTTATGATAATTACCGAAGTTATAAGCATCTGAATTTTACGGTTTTTTTTTGCAACTCAAAAAATGAGTTAGAGAATCCCACTACTGAATACAATTTTTTCTTTTGGTGGTCTTGTAATGTCAAAGCGTATGCAAGGGTTTTGTATGTGTATGTATTGTTTTGAATAAATAAAATATTTTAAAATTTTTCAAATTCTCTTGAAATTTCTATTTCA